TTTTCTTCTTTGCTGTTATTATTTCCCAACTTTCAGATTTCTTTTACTGTTAGTTTAATCTTTTCAAATTCATAAACTTCAAATCTTTGATAAAATCTATTTTAGTTATTAATTAAGAGTTAGTTTAATTACAGATTAGTCAAACAATCTTTGGGGACAACGACCTTGCATGAGCATTTATACTACAATTACCTTGTATTCTTGCAAGTATTTTCAGTGATTTTAACCCTGTTTGCGCAGGTATTAAAAATCCTATCACTTAGACCTTGCTGACATGATCCAGGAATTAAAAGACTCACATAGATTGTTCGATAGTATTGGACACTTCAAAGTAGTGTTGAAATGTGACCTTGACCAATGTCTTGGTGGTCTCTCTGGAGCTGTTTCACATAAATAACATTTAGATTAGTAAATGTACATTGAGTTCAATTATATCAAAATAATTGTGGTTGCAAATGCTCTTAAAATATTACCTGTTAGCCATGTATAAGCTTCACCATCTAATGTCCTCAACAATTCCATTGCCCTCATAAACTCTGGAACTGTGGTTGCAAATTCAGCCCTTCACATTGCATGCTTCAATAATTTTCCCTTGAACACCAAACCGAAGTTTGTAGATAGGTGTCTTGTACAAAATTTGTGATCACAATTAGGCACGACTTCCTCAAAAGCCTCTACTAAGCCTTTCTGCTTATCACTTATGAATGTAAACCCATATTGGTTTGCCAACTCAATATTACAGGCACCCAGCCTTGAATCCCTCCTTACAGGCACCCAAGCAAATGTATCTTTGGAACATAGGCCTCTGTAACCATGTGTTGAAATCACATTTGATTTGCATTATTGTTCCAGGATTTGTGTTCCTCAATTCTGCAGCATAGTCCCAGGGTCTAGCATATTGTGCACTAATGGAACCTTCTAGGATTTTCAAAGCTTTATTCTTTGCCCTCCTAGCCTTGGACAGTGATATTCCACTGTTAATATTCCTCTGCATTGTTGCCTTCAAGGACACCACTGATACAATAGGGTTTGTCTTCACCTCCTCCACAAATGTTTGAGCCAACCATGAAGATCTTACCCCTTTGTTTTCCCATACCCTGCTACAAGTGTGTTTGGGATCTAGTCTCTTCATTTGTAGTGTGTCTTCATATTGCATCTTGGATGCATAAATCTCAAATGGACAGTTCTCAGCTCCACAAATTGCCTGAATCCTATACTTCTCAGACTTCAACCAACATATTTCCCATCTTTCTTTGATTGAAATGGCCTTCAGAGCCTCTCTGAAGCTAAAACTATCTGCAAACTGCATGCCAACTTCAACCTCCACAGTTCCCATGTCACAAGAAGGAATAAACTCTGGGAATCTATGACCAGTGCTCTCCTTATCTGATTGTGGTGCTCTCCTAAAGTGCTGCTCCTCATCACTGTCTGCATACATGTCTTCATTATCCATAAAGTCTTCCACAAATGAAGGCTTTGGTACTGATTGCTCAGCATTTGCTCCACCCCACTCACCATCTATGTCAACCTCATGTAAGAACACTTCATCATCATCATCCTCATCATCAATACCGTATTCATTATCCACAAAGTCAGGGTCACTCTCATCATCAGTTTCTGAGGAATCGTCAGCATCATCAGCTTCATCAACTTCTTGTTGAATTGAGGGGTTCCTCTTCCTAACAGATCTTCTTACTTCATTTATCTCAGCATCTACAAACCCTTCATCAACTTCTACCACCTTTTGTTTGCCTTTGGTCCTAGCTTTGGTGATATCATGTTGTACACACTCTTCATCAACTGCTGCCACCTTTTGTTTGCCTTTGGAAGTATCTCTGTTTGTCTCATGTTGTAGACTGCCTTCATCAACTGCTGCCACCTTTGCTTTGCCTTTGGCAGTAAATGAATTCATGGATGGAGTTGGTTTCCTAGTCTTGTGTACCTCATTGGATATAGCTTTATCCAACCTATCATGTACAACAAGTGCTTTATCAAACTCTGGTAGCTCTTGAAGGATAACACCCGAACTTCTCACATCATCAGCATAATGATATACTTGTGAAGAATAACGACAATAAACGCTAGAATTAGTTTGGCTATTCAGAACATCATCAATGTTGTCCCAATGATCCATGTACATGTTAATCATCCTAACCTCAGGCACATTTTCACACATTTGAATAACTTCTGAGTCAAATTCCATCCTCTTCAAATCACCCTCATCTTCAACCCTATACCAGTAATCAATCCTACCAACGTGCCCTAAATACACAGCCATGCAATCTATTTCAATTAAAGACATCTTGTCTTTATCCACATAATCAAAGTATGTAACAGTTCCATCAACATAGTACTTGTGTATCAGTCTTCCATCATGGTGCATTCAAATGCTAAATAAGCAATCATCGTTTGCATACATAGATGATCCAACATTAGGCTACTGTTACACATTGCATGGATTTATAGACATGCACAGAAATCACCAACTAAACAATTATCACACAGAAAAATCCAAGCAAACACTTTTACTTTGCAGTTTACTATACCACTGGGTTTGAATTATGAAACATTGTAAAGTCACTTTCCACACCAAAAGCCAAACATCACATGGGTTACAGTAGGACCACAGACCAACTTTCCTTACTTAAAGGCCACTGACAACAACCAGAAAACCCCAAATATGCGAATTGGGAAACCCTTATCCCCACAACTGTGAACTAAGAAGCTTAACCCCAAATTAAAACCCTCTTCCCCAAATATGCAAACTTTGAAACCATTTCCCCAAAAAATTGACCTCTAAACCCCCAAATAAATCAATATTAAAACCCTAATATCCAAATATGAGAACTTCAAAACCTTTATCTAGAAAAAAATTCAAACCAAACCTCTATCCCCATATATTGTAAACTGGGTCGTCCTCTCCAGGTGGTCGTGGATCCCAACTCATCGGAGCCTTCTCTCAATCGGCTCTGCGTCGTCGTCCGATCCAGCGTCTGACGGAAATCAAGTAGAAGATTTGCAAGTGTGGAAGATTTTGTTTGGTAATCTGGAGATTAATTTGTTGAAGACTCATTGGAGGGCGTGAGGGCGGGAGAGGCCGATTAATCCAAGTTCAAAAATGCCCTTGGAAGGACTTCGAAACTAGCGGATATGTGGGCCCCATCAGTGCCAGATCAGCAACTAACGGTACAACTGACGGAAACCCTACCGGTGGAATGGGATTGTAACAAATTTACAAGCTCAGGGCATGCGATTGTTAAAATTGAAAAGGCAAGGACTAACATGCCTTAGCGTTGTAAGTTTAGGGTACTAAAATGTTATTAACCCTAGAATTAATCTCCGTTACATATCATACGGCTATACAGATTATAGAATAATTATAAAATGTATAATTGAGTTGAAAAAAGTTAGATTCTAGCTAATAACTCACCCAAGGAAATTACGAGAAGGAAAACAGCGTATTCCTTCATACGGCTCTCTCTCTCTTTTATTCCTTCATTTGTTTAATTTGTATACATTTTTGTAACTTTGTTTATAAACATCTGATGCTGGGTAAAAAGAGAGCTACATGCAAGGAGTGGCTATGACATGAGGAACTCGAGGTGTTTTAGTATTTTATATTTTTTATGTTTTTGTTAGAAATTTCTAGATTGAGCTTATATGGCTTGCATCTCTATAAACATGGATGCAATGAACAGTCTAATTTGTAGGCAAGTCTTGTGGCAAAACGTTCGAAACAGCAAAATACA